GACAAAATAGGATATTCACACGTAAACAAACGATTTTCTTATTTTGCTGTGGGTAGTACAAAAAGAAATAACCGTACACTTGACATGTTCACCAAGTATTTATAATTGTATTTTCGAGCCGAGATAATATAATTTTAAATTTCTTTTGACTGTTTTTGAGCTTTTTATAGACATTTTTTATTTTCGAATGTTTTTTTCAGTTTTTTCTTTAAATATCGTTAATACATTTTGTCAAGAAGTGTGAAAATTAAAAATAAGCTTTCACATACAATGTTATTACCTATAGCCATTTAAAAATATTAAAAATACACAGCTACCACTAATTTACTAATTTAGTCTAAGCTTTTGAAATACAAATAATGGTATAGTTATAAATCAAATATAATTTATATTTAAAAAATTTCAACTACATAATATGTCAATATATTATCTTAATCTTATCAAATTATTAATTGGTTCTTATATATAATTTTCAAACGTACTTAATTATTTTGTATAGGTATTACTATCATTATATTTACTTCCAACTGACCAAAATTATATTAACATTATATTTGTAAGCAATGAAATGTAGAAAAGTAAAAACTGTTATACCTGTGTTTAGGCACTATAGTAATATATATATTATTATTATTATTATATTATTATATTATTATATCATATAACATTTTTAAATTATAATTAATAAGATAATATTAGAGGTCAATCCATCATCAATAGAGGTCTTAATATATATTTTTTCATCTGCAACTGTAAATATAAAATATAAATATAAATTGTATGTAACTAAGTTGATAGTATAATAATAATATAATTTGTAATGAACAAATTGTCCGAATATATTTATTATATGAGTATAGCAATTCATAATAATCATAATAGTATAAAATATAATAAGTCACTAAATATTACTATTATTTATATAACTCGATATTCATACCTATAATATTTTGACGAAATTCGTTTTCTCCATTTACAAAATTATATTTTATCCGTGTGATCGAAATTCAAAAACCAATCTCAGATAGATAATTAAATAATATAATATAAGTGAATTGCATAATTATTATGCAATTCACTAATATTATAAGTTTGGTTTAGAAAAATTAAAATTTAATTCTAGCTTAATTATTTCTAGTTTCTAAAATTTAATTCTAATTTAATTATGATAAACAATAATTTTCATAAAATGAAAAATGAATATCATGAACGTGGATTTGAATTTATGATAAGTACTTAGTTTAAACACTATTTTCGAGCCCGTAATTGTTTGTACACCTGGAGAAACTACGGAAGATTGTATGATTTGAATCATCATTCATAAGTAGTTACCTCAGTCTTTAAAAATGTAAATGAAAATATTCACATTTTTTCATTAGTTCCAAAGAATAAAATTACTTATACAAAGAATCGTTATATTTTTAACCTAGTTTTTTACCTACCTATAAACAATTATTATTGATAAATAATAATATAATATATTCGCCTTATTATTTTACAATAGTCTATAATACAGAACGAATAAAATGATCGTAATACGGTAAAGAATGTAATAAAAACTTACCTTCTCTGCATCTATATGGAATTTTTAATCTTCCACAAAACAAAGGATTCCATATTCTTGGAGTATGAAGCAATACGAGTGTTTAAAACAAATTTCGATTTCGAAATAGGAATTTAATTTTTATTTTATATCCTAGGCCATCGAATTTATAGTACAAAGCGGGCCATTATAGAATCTAAATATCCCCGAATTCTGGCGTAGTTATTTTAAATTATTAATATGTGCAATATAACGATTAGTGCTGTGAATTGTGTACAAACTGAATCATTTTGGATCATGTTTGGATTAAGAATTTAGAAAGTTCTCGGAGCCAATTGAAATATAATGTAAGTATTCAATCAAAGAAAGTAAAGAGAAAATTAAAATATTAAATGAAAATTAATGAAAACATCGTTTAATTCACTGTAAGAAATTATAAGTCCGGTGTGGATTTTACAAATTTTCTGCAATTCTATAAAATGTTTAAATTATATTTTAAAATTAAGTTACCACCTTAATTACAATACTCTTAGTTTTTCATACCTATTTTGTCGTACGGTGTATTGTACTAACAAATATGACTTCACTGCAGGATATTAATAAAAATGATTTTACAGGAAAAACTCTAAGTCCTCGTTTCCAGATTTTGATAAATATTAGTTTTTATTTGTAAGAAAAATACTTTGTACACTGCTAATTGAACTATGATTTTTTTAATCTTATTTCAAATACCTAATGATGTAAAATAATTTGTAAAAAAAAACTTAAACTGTCTTTTTTTCAAACATATACCTTTTTTTAAGTTTGAGGTTAAAATTGTGAATAACGGAGTTCTACGCCGGTTATATATATCCTTCTATAATTTGAAATATAAAAAATATATTAAAAAATATTATCAAATTTGGTTGGTTCTACAGGACAGAATAATTTATTATTCGTGTAGTGTATTTTTCAGAGCAAACATTTTTTTTTTTTAGGGTTTATAATACAAACGGTTTTTAAGGATTTCAGTGTAGGCAATTCTCTTTTAAGTTCGCGTGTCGTGTAAATAGGTACGTAATAAAACATCATTAGTGCGCATGTCTGTTCACTAGTACATAATGTAGAAGAAATATCGTAATAGTCTTGCACGTGCACACTGCACACTCATGATGTGAATATCGTGCTTCACGAATATTTATTAACTATTTTGGAATTGTTTGTCTAAAAGTATACATTTTTGGCCAATTGTATGAAATCTGTCCAGCTAAAATGCTATCTGAAAACAAATCTGAATTCGTCATGAAGTTTAACAATTCAATTTAAATCGACTTACTTACATATTTTAATACATTTTTTTAGTTTCATATTATCAAGGTTTTGCACATTTTGAATGGTGTAAGAGTTAGATGTGTTTCAGAAAAGTGGAAAACTTGTTTTGGAGTTAACTTCTTGGCGATTTTAAATATGTTTTCAGATGTTTTATCCAATAACTATAAAATAATTGGTATACATGTACAATATTAGTACATAATAAGTAAAAAATAATATGTATATTTTATTAGAAACTCAGCTATAATACTTATTCCTCTTTTACGCCGTATATATTATAAGTATACTACCAAATACATTGTTATGCTAATTCTATCAATTATGGCTATAGTACAATATCCGAACAAATGGGTAAATTTGTTTTCATTGTTGCTAAGTTCATAGGTACACAATACTACCCATAAATAACGATTTCATATTAATATTTAGTATTTCTTTTAAAACTAAAAATATCGTGTATTTTTATTATTATTATTTAAAACATATTATAAATAGTATAGTCTCATAATCTCACCACATCTCACCTCAAATTGATAATATTATGTTTGTTGGAAACATTTTACGTGCGAGCAGCAATATTTTGTTTTATACAAAACATATTTTACATTAATAACTATTACATAATACTGATTTATTTGTATACAATATACATATAGTATAATATACTATAGTTTGTATAACTATACCTATACACATTTTGATAAGTATACCTACCTACTGTATACGTGCACTTGTGCTCGTGCCCTACTATATCGACATTGATATAATACTATAATAGAAATGATAATATTGAACCATTTACTATTTGCGATACGAGCACGTAGGCACTTCCGGTGCTGGTAAATATTATCATCATCATCATCATCATTTCCACCATATTAGCTGTCATCGCCTTAGTCAATATTAAGATATTTGTTTTTATGTTGTTCAGTGTCAAGACAAGTAACTTCGATTGTAGTCATATTTTGCTGCCATAAGACAATAGAGCTAATACCCACACAGATTAAGGGTGTTTAAATGAACGAACAACAATCAAAATGTTTCAGATAATAAGTGTAATTGAAGTAAAATGCATAATTGCAATAACATAGTTATTACTGTGTTGATAGTTATAATATTTGTGTATAATAATAATAATAATAAGGTAAAGCGATACAAATTAAAACAGTGCACATAATAACTCGATAAATTGATTTAAATATTTAATATAATATAGGTAAGTACATAATAATATTATATGCGTATTAATAGTACGCGTGCAGTAAAATTGATAGTACAGTATTATTGATTTGTTTAAATTATATAAATATTCATGATAAAATAACAATGATATTATAATGTCTGTCGAAATATTTTAATAAAATGGTATTACAAGAGGGAAAAATTAAATTTTTGATTGTACAATATAGTCAGGGCCGGATTGGTTAGGCGAGCTATCGAGAAAATCTCGGTGGGCTGCCTAAAGTTCGGGGCGGTTGTGTGAGTGTAAGTGAAAATAAATTCATGTATAAAATACGATTGGCCACCTATTAGCTCATAATATTATATTACGTAATATTTGTAAATAGACCGCTTAGAAGTGAAAATCTCGATGGCCCGATACATACCAATCCGGCCCTGAATATAGTTTTAGAATAGGTATCGTATATAATAAGAATATGTAGGTAACCTGACTATTTTATTTTTGGTGGGTATAGTGAATCCACAAGTTTTTTTAATGTACAATATAATATGAATTATAATATCTAATATGTTTATTGAAAATATGAAATGTATTTATGTAGTTGAAATTATTTTTTTAGGGGTTAGAGTTACATATTTCGGAATCTGAAATAAAATTAAAAAAAAAACACACACGGATTTTGTGGACCACCACCCGGGGATATTACCTGTGAACTGCAGAAGAAACGTAGTGACCTATACATAGGCCAAGTGCCTATGGGAATTGAATTGCTATAAAATGTGCGTACATAATAATATAGAGATCTATAATCCTCCACCGCCTCCGTCTCACGCCGCTGATGTTGTTTGACCGCCACGTCAGTGCGCCGTGACCCTCAGACGCAGCTGCCGCTGATCGCCACTGTTGCTCGCCCCCTACATCATCAGGACGTTGTTTGCGATGACGACGGCGATGACGATGTATTTATGTCGTCCTAATTTTGTCATGCCGTCCCTCCCGACTGTCACGGCCTCCCGCTGAGGATGATGATGTACTCCTCTCCGCCGCCGCGATGGCCGCTCGACCCTTGGCACGGTACACGAGCATGCTCGGGATCAGCACCCGGTCGACGAACCACTGACGAGGCGTCACAGCGCTGGCCAACCGCGCGCACCACACCTATTAAGTATAATAAAACGCAACAAATGTCGTAAAACTTTATAGAGCTATATTATTATAGGTATTAAAATGCCGAAAGTGCTCTGTCAAATATTTCCCACCTTTTAAATGACGCTAAGGGGTGTTTAACCAAGCAACTAAACAATAGAAGTTTACGATTCGAATAACTGCCTACTAATTGATTTATTATAATTTATCATAATTTATTATTAGTAAATAACGAAAGTCGTAATCGCAATTATATATTATAATATATTACATGGCCATCGTTAAAACGGTAGATTAATTCAAAACACATAAATCAATCGATGTTTATCTATAATCGTTATTCCAGTACAAGTGATAATAACATAATTATGTTATTTACTATAGAAATTAAATATTCGATGTAGCGTTAAATACGATAATTTAATACCAATAGGCAATTATATTATAATGGTTATATGTCTTGTGTGATTGAGTCAATAATCATAAAAACGAGAAAATTTACAGATATCAGCAATATATTATTACAATTTATAATACGCAAATAATTGTATGGAAATGCACAATAACGTAAGGAATTATCAACAAACGTAAAAATTACGTTAAATTGAGGATAAAATATTGTATTTGTTGCTAAAAGTGGAAAAATTAGCAATATTATTAGGTAGTTAGTTATAGTAGGTAATATTAATTCAGAAGCAATGGACAATTATACCTACAATTATATTAGCTCTTATATATAGCATTGAGTAGGTGTACAACTTAAAGTGAGAGAACAATAATAGTATACGACTACATGAAAAAAAAAATTTAAACATTTCTCAACATCATTAGGTACTGGTTACTCCAGTTATTATAATTCGGTATACAACAAATTAAATAAGTAGGTCCGTTAAAAATTCATAAATTTTATGTATAGATCGACCGAGATCTCTAAGAAGGAAATTTTGGGCTATACGTTTATTTGACAGCTTGATAAGTGGTCAACCGGTGTGATCACTCATTTTTTTTTTGTCTGCTGCATTTATCACACATTAAAGACAATATGGTTAATGTCTATAATTATTCAACCACCACAAATATTTCTAAATTCACAAGATGAACAAACAGGAAAACATTATATATATATATACTATATAGATATTAATACGTAACTAATATGTAACAAATATTAAACACGATTTTTTTTTAAACAGTTATATTATAGTACTTAATAAAACAATTTTAAAACGGGCATTACTGCAATACTGCATTAGACTAATGAGGATTGATAAACGATAATATCGCGATATAATTAATGATGTAATTAAATATTTGGCCTATAAATGTAGATACATCAGTGTTTCTGCCATTTCCATATAATATGTATAGGGCGTATAAAAATATTCAAATAGTAATTAAGGCGTTTCCAAATTTTCCGAACACCCTGCATATCATTTATATTTTAAAAGTGAGTACAGCATAACCGAATTAAAACAATTTTAACTATTTATAAGGTTATATGTGTTTTGAATAGCTGCATGTATTCATATATATATATAAGAATAAGGTTTTCCTGTACATATTCATAGGATGGTATAGTATAATCTACCAAAGTGGTTAACTCCGTATTTATAAATATTTGTCACAATTGTTAACTAAGACATTTATAAACGAATATAACCTTTTTGCAAAACAAATTAAATCGTATAATTTATTGCAAAATAACATTGCTAAAAGCAATGTTCCAAGTATAAAATTCATTAACAAATAATTAGGTAATAATAAATATTAATACCAGCCAATGATTTCCGCTGCCGAGACAAATTTTTAATAATAATAAAAATATTGCTAGGGTCTAAAGATTGTTAAAAAAACCATTAAGACTATATTCCTCTGGCCATACACTCAAGTACAAAAATACTATAGGTCGTAGGTAGGTATACTCAATATTGAATATAATATGGTATTATAGAGATGTCCTGCTGCAGCCACACTGCATATTTTGCCTAAACTATTATTACTGCCAGCTACTAATATTACTAAACTGATGGACGACAGCACTTTATACTGCAGCCTACTATAGATACTACCATTCACTTGACTTCAACATTTTGGCTCAGGAGTGAAATATTCAGCGGACCGCTTAAAAGCTCGTGACCAAACATAATCGTATATCGTTGAATGAACATTTTTTCCATAGAACTAAATCACTTCAGCTACAATTATTATAGTTTTTTTCAGTAGTTTTAAACAATCGAGCTTTGTTCCCGGTTTTGACCAAACGCAAACGATTTACAATAAAACAAAATATGCAACGGAAACAGAGTACAGCGTTGAAAAAACTAACCTACACATATTATCGACAATCGGAACTCTGAACCAGATATAAGTGATCCGTCCCCCATATTGCCATGTCACAGCTATATACTATATACTTATTTACTTATTTACCACGGCCGTGTAATATCCGGGGGGCGGGGGGGGGATGTGTTGCAGAGTGTGCATTATTCGTATCTATTTTTTTTTTTTTTTTTTGAAAACGCTTTCTCGGCTAGTCAAAAATAAAACGAAATCGCAGATAGTTATGTGCCGATATAATATTTTGTATTATTATCTGATATTGGATTAATATTTCGGTTTAAAAATGTATATTTTTTACTTTTCAATTAGGTATATTTTTGCTGTGGTCTGACACTCCGGAAATTGACCAATACTACGGGGAACAAGAACAATTGTATAATAGTAATGTGTTATATTATAAAGAACAAATAATAGTGAAAATATTATTTTGGTTTGTAGTTTGTGTAAATCACAGCCACGATAAGATATGGATTAAAGTCGATAATCGTGTTAATAACAACAATTTATAATTCCCCATAAAAATATCAAAAAGAAAGTCTAAATGTGTTATTCCTAGTTATTTATATTTTAAATCCTACCTACTATAAGTATACTAATTATAAAGGTAGTAGGTACTATAAGTAGTAAATAGTAAGAATTATATGAGTATGAAGCAGGGCTTGCATTTGAAAAAATCAGCTTTATGTGTTTACAATTACAACGTTACACAATTTTTGAGTTTATCGTTATTCAGGATGAAAAAGTTATCCAAGTTTTACGTTTATAGTTATTTAAAATAGTGTTAATTCTATTAAATTTAAAAATAATAACTAATGAGGCAGGTAATAGCGCAGATAGATACGAAATTTAATAAAATCAATTCTTAGATTGTTTGCATGAAATAAATGTTTCTATGAAACCGCAATAGACCTTTTAAATAAATAGATTTTAAATTATTTCGTTTGCTTTTTTTTCGTTCAATAATTTCTATAGGTAATTACTTTTTGTGTTATATTTTATTTAATGATATATAATATATTTTGTTAATCGTTAGGTTTGTTTTGCGGAATTTAATAATTTTTGATTATTGCTGTATAATTGTGTTTACAAATTTAAATCGGGTTTTGTCAAATATAACGTTATTATATTGTTTGCAAGCTATGATATTATGAAGGTATACTGCTAAACCTAAACAATATATTATAGGCTCAGATGCAGGTGATGGTTTAAAAATTCAAACATTTTTACGACCAAAAATCTGAGACTTTGCGCCTTTTTAGGTACTTCATCGATTGTTATTATAATCATAGATACTACTTACCATTAAAGTGTGAGGCCAGTATCCAGTGTAGCTGGCGGGCTCCGAATCCAGGCCACGGGCGTATAATCGGCCTCCTTGCCTCAACGCGGACCTAACCCAAAGACGAGCAGACGGCACCAGCCATCGCTGGACGTGGTCCTCCATTCGTTTCCTCCTGGAAGCCCACCAGCACCCGTCGCCGTAGTTGTCATCGTCGTCATACTCTTCGTCCTCGTCTTCGGAACAGGGTACCACTCGGACGTCTGGATTGGCAGATCGCAACATGGCGGTGGCCACGTATGCAGGTCGGGCGCACTGTACACGGACGCCGTGACCATCATTTCCGTTTTCAAGTCCTCTGGTTAAGTACGCACACTCAGCGTCCAGGTCCGAAGACAGCTTCTCCAGGAATTTCTAAACATATTATTATGGGTTTATACGCCGTGTGTGCTACTGTCAATGTCGGCCGGATCTCGCCAAAACTGCTGATAGTATTATTATTATAGGTATTATAGGTTTTATTATTATGGTACTACAGAGGTTTAGATCAGAGTACTAATTAAAAGTTATAATATATATTTTATTTTGGAGTGCTTGACCTATAAGTAAAATACGATATTATAATAATATTTAAACAAGACGTATTTCGCTTATACCTATAGGTTCTAATATAACCGTTCTTGTGTGGACAAATTATTATAGTTTCCTCAATCAAATATCCTCTAGTAGCTTTAATAGTCAAAAGTGGTAGGAACATTTGTTTGCCTTGAAAAGCATGAAAATATACATTCAATAATGGGAATTTTAATAACTCTCTGAGATGCTGTGGGATATTCTAAATTCTAAATGTTAAAATGTATGTAGTAAACAAATGGCTTTAGTATTGTATATACCTATTATTTTTAACTAAAAAAATGTCTTTGTCTGCGTGGCCGTGTTAACGGAGCCAAAGGGGGGGGGGCAAGGCTTAACCCACAATAATACAAAATTATTATTTTATAAATCTTTTTGGACTAGGTAGCTATATAATATAATATTTAAAAACAATTATTCATCGGACGATTTTTTCATCAGTGTAGGGGCCACTTTGGTTTTAAAAACGTCATACTCTATTCAGTGACTAAATTAATTATCGTCCTTCTAATGAGTAAAAAAAATGTCTGATGGCACTGCAATTAGCCTGGCAATCATACAGACATCATAATGTTATATACCTTTGTGGCGGCATACAAGGCCATCAGTGGCACGCCAGTCGGCATGGACGCGGAGGCACTTCCCACGTTGATCACCAGGCCCCGTCCGCGTACCAACATGCCGGGCAGCACAAGGCGGCACGCGTGCACCGCCCCTGCCACGTTACACCGGACGGCTACGTCTGCGTTGCTGCAATAGTCTGCAGTGAACTGCACAGACCCATCGCTGTCACCGGCTCCAACATTACCGTCAGCCATCATACCGGCAAAGAACTCGGGATGTGGATAACACGCGCCTGCGCAGTTCACAAGCACACCCACGCCTCCGTCCGTCTGTAACCGGCCCTCGACCACGGTCCTCAGACGCCGATACCACAAGGGGCAATGACGACGGGCCGGTTGCTGTCCTTTGCTGTCACAGAAACACCTGTCACCCACGTCGTCATCCTGGTCACCATACCGCTGTTCTGGCCGGTCGCCGGAGCCGCTACCTTCCGGCTCTCCCACGTCGACGACCGTCCCGTTCCGCGTCACTGGATCTTCCGCAAAGTCCGCCACTACCGTCATCACCTGCCGCCGACCGGCTGATTCTTTTCCTGCTCTCGCGTCAACCAATTTATTATTATATTAGAGAGGATCGAAACCAGTTTTTTGAAAATCAGTTAAAACCTCGGTTTTTTATTATGTATTACACCGTAATAACGCAACCGAAACCAAAAGCTTTAAAACCGTAATTGAAACCTGAGAATTTAAAAACCATTCACAAAACTTACACCGAATTATAAAACCGATTAATAACCGTCTATATACTATTTATAATAATTATAATTCTAGTTAAAACACATATTTTCATACAAAGAGAATTTCATGTTTTAATCAATGACAATCCCAATGATATTACGAACTATTTTATAAACTGAAACCAATAAATGTCAAGAACCGTTCTTGAAATCGAAATCGAAACCAAAACCAATATATTACAAAACCCTATCTTAAAAGCCAAACCAGTACCAGGAAATTTAAAATCCCTTTCTTATATAACCGAAACTGAAACTGTTAAAATTTCAAACGGTTTCGATCCTTAGATACTGGAATTATAAACTATTTGTGTATTCATACTGAGTGTTTCAAGTAAAATTGATTTCATATACCAAATTATAATTTGCATTTTGATGCATATTTGAAAAGTTAAGGTTTTTATTTTGTTATTAGATTATATAATTTGCATATTTTATACTGTCTTAATATATAAATAAACTAATATTAATTCCTTTTGTATTATTTTCTCTTTACTATAAAGACGCGAATTAGTATGTCGAACAACAAATTAATTTGAAATTATTACCTACAAATGATGATCGAAAATAATACTTCTTTATCTAGGAAAAATATTGATATAATTTATATATATTGTTCCGTGTTCGATACACTGCAACTGTATATATACATTATTTATATTTTTAATTTGTATGCACTAATTATTGCAATTTGCAACCAAAGAAAATGAATGATTATGAAGCTAATATTATGGTTTATGATGGATGACGTTTAGTTGGACCTGCAGGTTTACTTGTCTTGTTATAAATATTTGTTACCTAAATATTGTTTTTAATATTTTAGTGCGTATTTTTAAACTCTGATTATCATGAACGAGTTTCCGTAGCTTAGTCGTCCAGCAAAGCACAGCCACGGACCTATGGGAAACCACTACACTATGGGACATGGATTTTCCTAGTCACAACCTGAATAAAAAACAATTGTTAAAGGAATCTTTTATAATGGTATACTAGAGAAATCGTATGATGGTATGAAATGTCGGCTGCTAATGAAACAAAGTTTGTGATGATTTAAGTTGATCGGAAAAGTATAATCCGTATCCCCAAATATGAGAGAAAATGCCAAGATAAGAAAAACATTTATTTTTTCTATACATTTTTAGATTCAGATTTTATATAGTCAGTGACAGTTACAAACCAAATAATGTTTTAAAATTTTTAAAAAAATTCTTATTTAAAAATGTCATTGCTTACATTGGGAACTTAAAAATATACATAACATCCAGTGTTTGATTATTTTTTAAGTTACCTATTTATATATTTTATTTTTAATATTTAAAAAACCATAGTAAACCTAATATTATCGAATATGACGATTATATAATAATGATAATTTCATAACATGGAGGTACACATCAAGCATGTGAAAGGACTGAAAAACAGAACTTGGAACATATATACCTAATGTGTCAAATTGTTTAATGTATAATACATTTATATAATTATACCTACTCATGTGAAATTCAGTAAGATTTCGATTCCTAATAAATGGAAGATCATAAAAACTTTAAAAAAAAATCACACAATTACAACAAGAATTTATTACAGATTATTCTATATAATCTTAATCAAACGTGAATTTTAATTGAACTTGGTAGGTCGTAGGTAGTATATAGGTCAGGTTATATATTTAATACGATTATGGTTGCACAAGTAAGTTAAATCTTTCAGCAAACATAACATTATTGGAACTGAAATTTTTTTATCAAACACTCGTTATCTATGTTTACTTGTATTTATTTTCTAAAAATATATAAAACAATAAAATATAGGTCTTACGAAACTATACGAAAACGTGACATTTGAGCTTTTTCCATATTGCATAAAGATTAGATACGAATGCGTGTATTGAGAGTAGTAGTGACTATTTAGATTGAAATATGTGCAATTTCCTTACAACTATGACAACTCTTATATAAACACTATATATATTAGATAGTATAATAAAAACCTCAAAATAATACAGAACATATACCTAGTTATAGAGAAATATGTTTGCATTTTACATTTTTAATGACTAAAATATTATAGTCTTAAGTTAATCTTATATATTATTTTCTGCATAAATTTGGTATTTAAATACATTTTGCATGTGTTCGAAAGACTGAAACGCTTGTTATTTTATTTGTACAAAATTTTACATTAAATAATAAACATCACACAATGTATAAATTTAGGTTAACTTTCCTAGTTTTGTCTTTTGTCTTTACAAATATTTATCTCGTCAACGTTTTATTTTTAGAGATTTGACTTTCGCTTTTGAGTTTTACAGAAAGACAAATATTGGTCTTGCTATGGGGTAGGTTTTATTTTTCTAGTTATATTCGGTTAAGGCATTCTTGGAGCGGCAAAGAGCTCAAAGGATTCTTGCAGCAACATTCATGATTGACAAGATCAAAGATCGCATCAAAGAACTAGTTTTTAGAATTTCCATGATATTTTTAGTAAAAATGTACTCAAGAGCAAAGAGTTTCTACATTTCCACAAATCTTCTGTATCATAATTTTTAGTGTAGGTATACATTAATACATTATATAATATGTATATGTTTATTATTCATGTTATGTATTAAAACCTAGTCAATGTATCTAAAATAATTAAAATATTGTCCTTTGACAAAATATTATGATGCTAAAGGCGTGTTTATAAATACTTTAAATATATGTCTAGGGAATAATAATAACAGTATTTTGTGAACGGTTAAAAGCATTAAAATTACCAGAAAAAGAAAATTTTATCGAAAATTGCACTACGTTTATAATACTAATATTTAAAATATCATTACTAGCATCTAAAGTAATGTTTTAGGGAAAGTTATAAAAATATTTTTTATTAGTAATCGAAAACATCAAGTAACGATTGTCAATTTCCTTTACAGTATAAAATTGTATTTTAAGTCAAATGAAGGTTTATGTTATTCAAAGTATTTAAAAAGTTTGACTACCTAATTGGAGTTTTCAAGTGAATATGTTTATTCATAATATTATTTTTAACTCTTACATGCAGAGTCACTGTCACATAATACATTTTACATAATATACAAATACATACTTATAAAATAGCTTTATAATGCTTTATATGCATAAAATTATTGATTAAAAATACTAGTAATATCATAGTAATACCAATATTTATAATCAATGATAAAATATCATAAATATTAAGTGTAATCCCACATTTGTTAGGTAATTTGAACAGAATGATGGAGAAAACTATTTGAATATGATTTTTCCGGGTCTTAAGTTATTAAATTGATTTTAAATATTTCGATAAAACATATTTTTAATGAATTATTAAATAATTGAAACGGAAATTCGTAGTTTTATTATTATTTTTTTTTTTTTAGAACCAGTTAGAACATTAGAAGACACACAAGAAACATTAAAAAAAAAACTATATTGAGGTGTTCACTTCCAATAGAATCTTATATCGACTGCAATGGCTAATAACTTTTTTAAACAGTTTAATATATTCAAATTTTGTTTTGAATATAAGATGAAGATTCACAGAAGATTCCATTTATATTTTTAAAAATATATAAAAATAAACAAATGAACAATAAACTAAAAATATCCTAAACTAACATTTACCATGAATAAATTATCAATATTATTTTGGGAGAAAAAACATCGTTTGTATACAAGTATACAACTCTACGACCATTGAAGCCATCGTACAGTAAAGTTTCATGATTTTGAATAAATTTAAAGTATGCTACATAACTAAAAATAATATTGAAATGATAATAAGGTGCCTTTAATGTATAGAAACTTGTTCTTTATTGTTAGATTTTCGTAATCAATAAATATTTATATTTTCGTTAAAACTGCTCACCCACATTATACGGAGACCTTACACAAACATTCGATCACTCTAACAGTCCAACGGACATGTATAATGTGTATATACCGGCACGTGTTATTAAAAAACCTTCATCCTTTTTTTATACCCTAACGAATATAGCGTGTAGATATTTGAGATAAAAATTGCTTATTAATGAATTAAATGAGAAAAACTTGATGTCAAAAATGTTGCAAGTTGGCCATTTTATTCAAATTTTGAAACAAATAGTATTGATATTATATTATGAATTATATTACCTCGTAAATATTTTAAATATTTTATTCATTTTTCTTATCTAAGTATTGATTTACCTAATACTGCATTGTAGGTACCTATCGATATACCTACTTATGTAGGTACTAGGTTCTATCTTTAAAATTTAATAAAGTTATTGAAGTTCTTTTTTTATAATTTCGTATATATATTAGAATATGATAGGTATAGACATTTATTGAGTTTGAATATGATTTTAAGATTTAACTAAAGACCCACACGGACAGAAATTTCATGTTCTTGGATCTTGCAGTTTAAAGTGTCGTGTCACCAGTTAATATTAATAAAAAAATTAAAAGCATTTTTGTAAATTTGCCAAAAATAAAATACTGATTTTCAACTTCCAAAGTTAAATTAACTATTATTTTCAATTGTGAAATTGCATATCTAAAAATATCATTAAGTTTGATTGAAGGATTGTATAAAGTTGGCAATAATTAGGTACTATAAATTTGTGTAAGTATTTGATATTAGGCAAAACGCATAAAACCGTAAAAAATATGTCGAATAGGTACTTGTATTGTTATAACCAACTATGTTTAGTAGTTATTAATGTTATAATATAAGATTTAGATTTTATTATTATTACTATTATTATTACAAAATAAGTCTTTA